TGTATGTATGTGTGTATGTATGTATGTATGTATGTATGTGTGTATGTATGTGTGTATGTATGTATGTATGTTAATCCATGCATCATTATTCTTACACTTTACAGTAATGTGCTACTTTCGCATAAAATCGTAGTAAAATATTTTAAGAAGTTTGTGGTTGTAAGTGAAAAAAAGTGAACGTTTAAAAGGTACAAATATTGTTGCAAATATTTTTAATTTAATTTGCTCAACTTTGCAACTTTGATCTTTCATATTGAAACTGTTTATCAAATAAAATGATTGCAGAGCAGTTTCTTCCCTGTGGTCTGTTATACACAATACATTCTGCTTTATTTTGGATGGTTTTGTTTTTCATTTTAATACATTAAAGTTGAGATATTGAAAATATTTTCTCCAGTTAATTTGACGTTGACATGCAGTTCTTTTCCAGAGACAAATGTAAAGTGTTGTAGTCCCTCCTTACTGCCTTTAGAGGGCACTGTAACATGCTGATGTGGACACGTCCAGTCATCCTTCCATGATTATACTCCTCTGTTTTTAATTCACAAAGAAAGCCTTGATCTGTTAGACTAATTGTTAGCTAAATGGTCCCTAGGTGAGAGTGTGAATGGTTGTTTGTCTCTGTGGCCCTGTGAGGGACTTCCAACGTGTCAAGGTGTCTCCCGCCTCTCGGACAGTGAGTGCTGTACAGGAGCATCTCAAAATACTGTATTGTGAAAGAGTTTAAAAAAAATTGTCAGTAATTTCAGAAGTTGAAAGTTATGAATTACATATATTCATTACACACAGAGTGAAATATTTCAAGCCTTCATTTCTTGTATTTTGATGATTACAACTTACAAATAATGACAAACCAACATTCAGTGTGTCAGAAAGTTAGAATATTCCACAGCCAGATGTTGGTACCTTTGTCAGTGTGGGCCGGAACTGAGTCCTGCTGGAAAATGAAACCAGCATCTCCAAGAAGCATGAAGTCTCTAAAATGTCCTGCTAAATGCTCCGTGGACTGGACTTCAGAGAACCCAGTGTACCAGAACCAGCAGAGGGCATGGAGCCAGACCATCCCTGACTGTAGAAACTTCACTCTGGACTTGAACTACATGGATTCTGGACCTCTCCTCTTCCTCCAGACTCTGGGACCTTGATTTATAAATTACATGGACATTTAGTTTCATCTGGAAAGAGGACGTTGGACCACTGAGAGACAGTCTAGGTCTTTGTCTCCTTCTGATGGTGTTTCTGGTTCAGGAGTGGCTGGACTGGAGGAGTGACACGTTTGTAGCTCATGTCCAGGAGTTCATCAGCTGATCAGGGTGAGACACCAGGAATTTATAATATTGAACCTCTAAACAATATTTTCATTTTCTAACACACTGAATGTTGGTTTTTCATTATCTGTAAGATACAATCATCAAAATGA